TCCACGAGGGCATTGGTAGTACGCACATCCTGGATTTTTGGCGGACCTAGAAATCTTGACCACACAATGCCCGTACCCACAGGCACACATAGGGCTTGGTTGTGTTGATGTGGTAGTCAACATAAACAAGGCCATATAGTCTGTGATGACTTGTTTGATGACATGACAAGCACAACAAAACAAGTAAACGAGTGTGACACTTATGTTATGGGATAAGTTTGTTGTGTTAACAAGTTTTTTGTGTTAACAAGTTTGTCAGTGCACTTCATTTTTTATGTCCATAACAAATAATAATTTCATACTGACTTATGTTTCAACAGTTTGTGGGCTTTACATTTGTTGTTTGGTCGGAGCCAAATTACGCCAATTTTGCAATTTCTGTAAAATATAATTTCACCGTAACAAATGCTACCACCTTTTTTTTTTTTTTGTCAATCATACATATTATAAGTTATTTGTAATATAATGAAAATTATGAAATGAATAGTATTTTACAAGTTTTCCTCTATTTATCAAAAATGTTGACAAGATGAAAAAAAATCAAACATAAACAAATAACCTTACAGGTAATCGTCTGCTATATTGAAAAAATCTTAGACGTCAGAACTAGTATTGAAGAGGTGAGGGAACACAACAAAATTCAAAGGCAGTGACATTGTTCAACTAACTAATTCACCTAGTTTCAACTATAACTAATTAAAAAAAAAGAAAGAAAGAGAGAAAGTACCCATTTGGGATGCTCCTTGAAGATTGACAGTGTATAAAATTAGAAAAAGATAATGTCAAAACAAAATACATACTAAATGTCCATGTGCATATACACAAATCCAAAGATAAGGTCATCAAATACAATGAGAGATGAAGGTGATTACATTAACAGAAGACATGTCACGACCAAATGACTGAGTTTCTACACTTGAGTTTATTTCTCTAACAGAAAAAGTAAAGCCATGAAACATAAGCACAAAACCCAACAGTTACCAAAGACCAAATAATTAACAAATAAAAATCTAATAGCTTTGTTAAATCATGAAAATAAACTATGGCATAGATATTGGACATGAAGTTTAGAAGTATATTTGTTTAAGAAAATGCTCCATATAATATATATATATATATATATATATTGGATAAAGGGCTGGCCAAATCATATGCTAAGCAGCAGCTGACTGTTAGTGACAAGGATTTGGAGATGCTCTAGTACACGACCTGTAGTTTAAAAACTGAAAGACTCATTTTCCTTCTCCTTTCTTTTTTTTTTTTTTTTATATTTTTTTATAAAAAATAAAAAAATACATTTATTTAAATAATTCCTAAATTCAATTTTTTATGGCAAGCCCAAGCAGAAAATATAAAGGTTTCCCTGTGCTGCTACATTTGGTTTGTATTTTTTGTATGTGAAGGATTTGTATTGAACCATATGTGCGGATCAACCATTCATGAATTCTATAAATGAATAATTTCATTTCTAGTGCAAAATGTGCTCTTCTATTTAGGGGACTTTCTTTTTAATTACCCAAAGAAAAAGTTATTTATTTTTACAACACATAATGATGAAATTGGCAAGTGGTGGGAGAGAGAGAGAGAGAGAGAGTTCATACGTATACAAAAAACAGAGCATACAAGTCATGGTTATCAAATCCACACCCCCCCACTACCAAACAACCTGCATATTGCTAAACGGCTCTCAGTAGGTCAAAGGAAGCCCTAAAACCCCCAACATGGCAGTATGTAGGGGACTTTCTGCAAAAATTTACCCAAGTCTGAATTTTGAAGACAAATTCAAATAGAAAAGTGGTCAGACAGAGTGATAGACAGACAGACACACACACACAGAGCACGCGTGCGAGAGAGAGAGATAGATACATATATCACAAAGAGAGCATACGACTCATGGTTACATAGCGAAACAGAAAGAAGAGAGGTTGAAGAGAGAGAGAGAGAGAGAAGAAGAGCATACCTGCAGTTTGGGGGATCGTCGGAGGAGGGACTGATTTTCCGTTCGCCTTGGCGGACTATCGTCGTCACTTGGTTTGTCTTTCTGTTCAGATCAGAGCTTCTACTATGATCTGGCCTTGAACGAAGGGCCCTCTTCATCTTCGGTCTTTGATGTAGCTAAATAGCTCTAGCTACTACACCCTCTGTGATAATAGCTTTGCAAATATTCCCATCAATATTTGACATAAAGCGGGGGGTGAAAGCGATATAAAGAAAATCAATGAGGGGCAAAACGGCCTTTTTACACTATAGCTGGAAGACTTCACGTGAAGCTACTATACGTAGGTTTTTAGGGTTAAATTTATAGGCTTTTCGGCTTTTTTAGTAACTTTTTGACTTTTTGGCTAAACCGGTCGCTTTCCAAACGAGGCCTTAGATGTATCTAAATAGTAAAATATTTGTGAAAAAATATTTTAAAATATTAATTTTGACATAAAGCGGGGGGTGAAAGCGATATAAAGAAAATCAATGAGGGGCAAAACGGCCTTTTTACACTATAGCTGGAAGACTTCACGTGAAGCTACTATACGTAGGTTTTTAGGGTTAAATTTATAGGCTTTTCGGCTTTTTTAGTAACTTTTTGACTTTTTAGCTAAACTGGTCGCTTTCCAAACGAGGCCTTAGATGTATCTAAATAGTAAAATATTTCTGAAAAAATATTTTAAAATATTAATAAATACACAAAAATACGAAAAATGTATTGAATTTTCGTTTTTTTTTTTTGTATTTTTGGTATTTAGTGAAATTTTTATAGATTTTTTTTACAAATATTATACTTTTAAGTGTATTTATTTTAGGTGTGTCTAAAAATTTAAAAAATTACTTAAAATATTAAAAAAATTCATTGAAAACAAAAAAAAATACGAAAAATAAAAATGTAAAATTTTCTAAAAAGTGTTTTCTGAAAACTAAAACCAAACGGTTTTTGAAAAATTGTGTTTTAAAACTAGACCCCTTTTTCAAATCTATTTTGGATTGTTCACACAAGTATTGCTTCCTACTCTACTTTTTAGGTCATTCGATTCTCATTTCAAATTCCATCTGCATCGTTTTTTTATAAAGAAAAATAGAAGGTAGTGCAGTGCACGATATTCTAATCACTATAAGTTTAGAAAATGTTAAATGTATGCAGTCTTACTAGATATGTAGAAAGACAATTTTCATATTTCGAACTTGTGTTGCCCACAACGCAATGAAGCAACCTTACCTCTTCATCAATGTCCACCCTTAAAATGGCAGCACATTGCACGTGGCCCTTGCCATTATAGATTTCGAAAAGGGTCATATATATCAAGTCTTGCCTCCAACTTGCGGAGGTTGTTTTATGTTTTGAACTTGAACTCGTGATGTTTGGGTTACAATGGAGCAACCTTCGCTTTGTGCCAACATCCACCTTTAAAAAGGCAATGCACAATTCCAATCAGTGCCAACGCCCACCTTTAAAAACTTAGATCTCCAATCATTGCGAAGTCTAAAAATAATTAGATGTTTACTATTAGAATAATGCTTGGGACCCCCTTTTGGGGGTCACCCCCTCACCCCCCTTTGCCACGTGGCAGGGGGTGATTGGTGGAGCAGGAAAAAAAAGAAAAAGAAAAAGAAAAGGTGACCAATGAGAGAGAGAGGGGGTCAAAGGGGGTGAGGGGAAAAGGGGGGATGAATCATTACTCTAACTATTATTCCACGCTTTTTTTGTATTTTGAATTTGAACACATGACACACCCTTCTTTCAACAATGTTTTTGCTTTTAATAATGTTCCGGACCCCCTTTTCCTCCCGCCCCCTTTGACCCCCTCTTAATATGATTGGCCAGTTTTTTTTTTGTTTTTTTTTTGTTTTTTTTCCTTCTCCTCCAATCACCATCCGCCACGTGTGTATAGAGATGGTGGGGGTGATGATTGGAGGGGGTCTCAATCATGACCCTTTTGCTTTTATATGCTGAGAATCAACTCCTTTAATAATAAATATTATGGAACTCAGGCGCATGCGTGGACAAGGACATGTTAATACAATATTGATTTGTAATTTAGACTCATCTCTCTCACTCTGCCATTACTTAATTCAAAGCAATCCAATTCAGTCATGAGTACAAAATTATCATTAATATAGGCAGTGGCGGAGTCAGAAAATTAGGTTAGAAGGGACACTTATTAATTATAATTTTTTATTTAAAAAAAATTCATGAGCAACATTAAGATAATAATTATTTTATGAGATAAATTTAAATATAAAAATCACATATTCATTATTAATAAGAACAAATCAAAATTCTATAATAGTGTGGAATAGTTCGGTGTGAGATGATGATGTAAGTTTACAATTTTAGTACAAAAAATTATGGATCAAAATTCTTAATTTTAAAAAATAAAAGCACATCATTTATAGTACAAATTATTATAGAATCTATTTAATTTTTATTTGACAGAAAAATATTAAAGAGATGACATTGCTTATAAATGATGTGTTTTGAATGAAAATTATTAAACAGTCTTAGAGTACCATATGACGTTACCTATATGATACTCAAAGTATAGAAAATCACAAATCACAGTAAGTAGTATGTCAACTATTTGAAAATAATGAGTTCATTATATCCAATCTATAATATTTTTCGCTACACTATTGATTTAAACTACTACATAAATAATACCACATAGTGTTCCTAAAGTATCAAATAACTACTTGTTGTGAACAATATAATAAATCATTAGCCAAAGAACATATTAAGGAAAAAAAAAAAAGAAGAGAGAATACATTTTATACATGACAATAAAAAAAAATAAAAAAAAAATTACAAAACTGAGGGGCCCTCGACCACCCTCGGCCTATGCTGCGTCCGCCCCATAATATAGGGGAAAAAAAAGAATTTAAATTGCCCATCTCTGGTGCTTATATATTCATTATTGATCATAGTACACAATATTAACGGAACAACCCATTCCTCACAACCATGAATTATATTGAGAAACCCAACATTTAGACCTTAAATCACTCCTAGAATATAAGAAAGAATTTCAATATGCCATGTAAATTAATAAAATTCTCTTTGTATATTTGTACAATGAATTGAAAAAATATCACAAACACTGCTATAAGTATATAACCTTTTCATTTTAGAACTGCTTTCAAAAAGTCCTTTTGAGACCCTTGAAATCCATAGAATCAATACACTCCAACCTATCCCTATGTAGATTCAATAGCTTCAACAAGTCACATGCCTTTTCTTTTGTCTTCTCACCACACCCAACTTGTAAGAGCAACAAGAGCTTCTGAAAAGCACCCACTTCAAGAGCTTCAAAAAGAACACCTCCCTTTTCCCTCTCCTCAACCTTGATGAGCTTCCAGAGGATTGAAACTGAGAATTCTGTTGCCAAATCCGAAACACGCAGTATCTTCTTCACCAAAACCGGCATAGTTATTGCATGGTGGTAGGCCTCTTTGCTTCCTTTGTCGTAACTGCAAAGTCCATCCAATATGCCTAACGCCCTCTCACACGTGCTTCGCTCTGCGTCTACAAGCATTTCAAGAAGCAATGACACCATACCCATCTCTACAAATCGTGCTCTGATATCAATTGTTGAACGAGAAGGTGATAATGACGAAACCATGTAGTATATAATCATCAATGAAGTTTTTGTGGTTGCAGGGCAAATTGGGTTTTTAATCGACTTCAATAAAGCTTCGGTTGTGCCTTCAATCTCTGCCAAAGCTTCTATCTTCTGTTGATTCGATGATACAATCTCTCTCAGAACCAAAAGTCCGTTCCTCCGCGCAGATAAATCTCCGAGCGTCAAAAGCCGAACAATGCAGTCCAACGATGCAGATGAAGATAGACGAGACATGGCTTCTTCATCAAGTGGAAACATTAATGTCAAAGCTGACAATATCTCCTCCAAAACAACATTGTTTCTATCAAAACTTCCCTCTGAGAAGGCCTCAAAGGTCTCTGATAGAGCACTACCGGTTCCTTTAGCCACCATGGACCGCCTGTTACGCTCGCTCTCCTTCACCAACGCCTTAATCTTTGCCACCAATTCTAAGCACCCTTCACCGTCCCCTCGCCGCCGTGCGGCTGCCACTCCGGCGAGAATTTCCGACACCTCGAATGAGCTAATAACGGGCATTCTAGGCGTTGGAATACTCTCCGATATACTTTTCTTAGTGTCACGGTTCTTGCCAGCGTGGCGGGTCGCTCTTCGCCATTTCCAAGATGAAATCATGGTTGGGTATATAGTAAATCAATCAAAGTTGAAGATGTAGGGAGAGTTAGAGAGAGAGAATTAGAAGGGGTTTTGTTGATGGTTTTGTGTGTATGAGGTTTGTGAAGTTAGGAATGGAGAATGGGAATTGGGTTGGGTGGTTATATATATTAGTTTAGTCTTCCCTACGCGGTTCAACTTTGAAAACCTAGGACAATAAATCAAAGTTTTAAAAACAATCTCACAACAATAAAAGAGAGAACCGTTCAATACACTGAGAGAGAGAATTTGAATATTGACCCGTTCGAAAGTTTGAAATGGTAAAACACTTCATCACATGGGCTACACATCATACGGCTGATTCTATTTACACCACAATCATCTCATTTCACATTCTATTTTTATTTTTTTATTGTAATTTTAAAATTATTATAATAATAAATAAATAAAAAACAAACTCAATTTCAACAAAATCAAAAGTTTCATTTGGTTTAATTTTCGAATTATGATTTGAGTGTGGACTTATATTTTGAAAGATAAGTTTTTGCAAATAAGTTTTGAAAAGAAAAAACTTGTTTGATTATGAGTTTTGAGTTGTATTTTGAAATTGTTTTGGGTTTTCTTTTTTTTAATATTTAGAAATTTTCTTAATTTTATTTTTCTAGGGTAGAAAATATTTTTTTTTTTAATGGGCGTTGTATTTACTACATTTGTGCACTGCATTTTTTGTAAATATTACAAATATTTAAAAAAAAATTAAAAATTATTTTTTATTTTCAGTATATGATTCTTATTTTAAATATTTTCATATTTTTTATTTTAAATATTTTATTTTATTTTATTTTTAAAATATATAATTTAAATATTTTTTATAAAAAATAAACTATTTTTAAATATAATTCATTTTTTAAATATTTAATTTTTTAAAATTTTATAAAATTTTGGATTGCCCATATATATCTAAATCATAACAAATTATTTAGCCAATAATTAAAAAAATAACAAAAAATACATATATTTTTTTTAAATAATTAAAAATATATTTCTTCAAAAATAAAAAATATATATATTTTTCCGAAAGAATAAAAAAAATAAAAAATAATTTGGTTTGAGTTTTCTGAATTAAGTTTTTTGAAAACTGCGTTTTTTGGTTTCGTATTCTTTTGTTTTTAGTGAATATTTTTTAAATTTTAAACCTTTTTTTTACTTTTTTAGATGCACCTTGGTTAGATGTATCTAAAAAGTAAAAAATTTGTGAAAAAAATATTTTAAAAAATTAATAAATACTTTAAATAGAGTTTTGAAAAGAGTTAACTTATGAGTTTTGAAAAGAGTTTTTGAATTGAGTTTTGAGTTGTGTGTTTAGTTATGAGTTTTGACTTTTTTGATTTTTATTTTTTCCAAATCATGATTCCGAAACATAACCTTAATTTTTTTTTTTTAAGTTTTAATCTATATTTTAAGAGATATTTAAATTTTTAAGTAATATTAATTGTAATTATCAAACAGGCTTAATTGATTATTAGTTAATAAGTGTTGAATCAGATTATCTTAGTGAGGTATGATTTTATAACCATAATTAGTGAGATTTAATTTTATATTTGTAATTAACATAACACGAATTTAAAATTTTATGGTCATTTGTTATGGTTTAAAGCTTTTAGTATTAATAAAAAGTGAATGAAACCATTTATTATAAAATTTCATATATAGGGGATTTTATTAAAATTTTCCTTTAATAATTCATTTGTATGAATTTTAAGTGAACCCAAACAAAAATCTCCTTGGAGAGATATGATTTTATAACCATAATTAGGTATCATTTGGGAACAGACTGCTTTAGTAACTTTTTAATTTTTTAGTTAAAATATGAGATAAAAAAAAATTAGTATGTTTGGAACGACTTTTTAATTTTTTATGAAAAGATATGCAAAAGGTAGAGACAAAAAGGCATTTTTGACTTTTTAGTATAAGTTCTAAGTTTTTTAATAACTTTTTTATTTTTAGACTAAAACAAGTACATATCAAACGAGGCCCAGTGAGATTTGATTTTATATCTATAATTAACGTAATACCAATTTAAAATTTTATGGTCATTTGTTTATTATGGTTTAAAACTTTTAGCATTAATGGAAAGTGAGTGAAGGCTTTTATTATATAAATTCCATATATAGGGGATTTGATTAAAAATTTCCTTTAATAATTTATTTGTATGAATTTTAAGTGAATCCAAACAAATTCTCCTAAATAGACTTTTGAGTTTTGAAAAGAATTTATAAAAAGAGTTTTGAATTGAGTGTTTGGTTATGAGTTTTGAAACTTTTTGATTGGAATCATGATTCCAAAATTAAACCAAACACTACCTTAATTTCTCAATCCGTACCCACCCTCTTATTCATCATTTCCATTGCCCTACTATCATTTCCACTTTTTCACCGCCACCCATCCTCTCCTCAGCTTGCGCTGTTGCTTGCGACATCCTTTCCCCTATTCATCATCACCCTCCACTCCTCTCGCAATCCTCCATCGCTATAGTTGCTATCACTTCTTGCCACTAAGGGTGTTCGTGGTTCGGATGCGGCCAGAAAATCTCTAATTTGCCATCCGTCCGTTAGATGGACAGATTGAAAAAAATCAATCCGCATTCGTCCACCGAATTGACGGATGCGGATTGAACGGATTGACAAATTGGCAGATGGATGCGAATCGGTTTGGTGGTTTAAACTTTTACAAATTTTGAACGTAATACAACAGCTTGTTTACATTTTTTTTTGCATAACAATCCAACTCAACATAACTAAAAGATTATCACGTAAATTGTTAAATACTGAGAGGGTAATTTATATGTAAATTGAGCCGAGCTGGGTGATGGGTCGTTCTGTGGGCCACAGTAAAAAGGGCTGAGTAAAAGAGCTTTGTAGTTACCCGGTCCAGAAAGAGCTTTGTAGTTAGCTCGGTCACTACGGTCTGAGTAATAGCAGTTAGCTCGGTCGTACCACTAAGGACCGGGGTATTTTGGGCTTTTACTCAGAACCTTGCTATTGAATAGCTCGGTCCAAGCACGCTGTGGGTAGTGCGATCTCAAGAAGTGAAACCGAGGTACAAGTTGTAAAAAGAAGAGCTGAGCTAGTCAGAACTCGGTCAATTCTGCCAGTCTGGCATGGCATTTTTAGCCCGGTCGTTTTGTCATACGACCGAGGTATAACCATCTCACTTGGTTTAAGCAGTGAGGGAGGTGTTGAAGGATAAACATTATCTTTCAAGAGTGTGATCCCTAGGAGGACTCTACGTGGAGGAATAAGAGTCCTACTGGGATTGTGCCACACGGAACCTATTAAAGCTCACAACATCCCCTATGGAGAGGTAACACAACTTTGATTCCTGAATTCACAGAGCTTTTGTGTCTATTGTCTATTGTGCTGACTTAGGCATCGGAGGGATTTCCGGCATACACTCGCCGGTTAGCTCACGTTTGTGTTCTCAGGTGACAAAGCGACGACGTTTCGAGGAGCGTAAGCTTGATCAACAGGATCATACGAAAAGAATTATTTCGTGCTCGTACAATTGGCGCCGTCTGTGGGAATTCCACAAAGAACAAAACCTCTTGATCAAGCTTTCCTCTCTAGCTGAGATCAATGGCGCACAATGAAGACTTGCCGTAGCCCGCTATCGACGGACAAACCCCAGAGAGGGGTGGGAGGCGCGGAGGTTTGCCTTCTATCCCTCCCATGGCAGATTTAGAGCCCTAGCGACAAAACCCCCGGAGGGATGCAAGGGGAAGGCAGGGTAACAGCCCCCGTCACTCTCAAAGCCCTGAAAGGCAGAGGCAGAGGATTGACCCTCAGGTTCTGGAGGATCGCGTTAAGGAATAGGATGAGTTGGTACGAAGAATGGTGGTGGACATGGAGTTGATGAAGCGCCAGACAAAAAGAAAAGGGGTGGCGACAGGAGAGGGGCCCAAAGGCAGTATGCCCCCTCGCCACTCGGAAGGTCGTGGTAGACACACCACGCCGTCACAAGCAGCGAGTAGGAGCCTCAGGACAGGCGACATTTAATCAAGGACTGCCAGGACTCGTTACTCCAGGTCAGAAAGAACGAGGACTGAGAGGTCATATACTGAGGGAAGCACCTATCGGCCCTCACACACGCACCAGACGTCATCCAGGTAGACGGAGCTGCCTAGGTCGTCTAATTTGTGAACTGTGCTCGAAGAAAGGGCACGATGAAAGGAGGAAGCCAGGGCACGTGACCCGCGCAGAGTTTCAGCCCTTCAGCAGTTGGCTCCTCAGACGCATAGGAGCGTCAAGGTAGGAATGCCAATACCGCACCTTGCCTACGAACCAACAGATAAAGTATTGGCAAGGCTACATAGCTCACCGTTCGTTCCGGCGATTGAGAACGCACCATTACCTTCAAGCTTCATCCAGCCTAAATTCACGACTTATGAGGGGAAGACAGACCCCTACATACACCTAAGCCACTTTCGCCAGGTCATGGCAGTATACCGGCAGAACGAGGCTTTGATGTGCATCCTATTCCCATCTAGCCTTGGCGACCTAGGTTTAACCTGGTTCGAAAGGCTACCAGAAGGCAGCATAGCCTCCTGGGCGCAATTAGCGGAGGCGTTCGTGACTAGGTTCCGAACAAACACCAAAACGCCAGTGGAGATCGATCAGCTACTCTCCATTGACACGGGCAACAAAAAGACGCTGAGATCCTACAACAGTCGCTACTGGGAGACCTTCAACTAGATAGGAGACTGCCCTACCAATCTTGCCATTGCGCAGTACAAAAGCGGGCTACCAGTTGGAAACAAGTTGAGGGACTCAATCACAATGACGCCCCCCCTCACGATGGAGGCCTTGATGGAAAAAGTACACCAGCATATTTGGATAGAGGAGAACGGCACCCGTGCTAAAGCAAAATCTGGCACAATAGCAATACCAGATAAAAAGACTACAACAAAAGTCAACACGGTAGAACGCCCAAGCAGGAACGCAGGAATGGGCGAGGCAGGTGGGCCAACAGAGAGGACTTAGACAAAAGGTGGCTAAGAGTCCGCACTGCCATCACCACGGTGTTCAAAAAACCAATCTACCGAATTCTCAGTGAAATACGCGATGAACCTTTCATCAAATGGCCAGCTA